AAATTTTAACCTACTACAAGACACAAAATCAGCCCTTGGATTAGACAAAATAAACAAATATTTCTTTGACTTTCAAAACCACATTACACATCAACAGGGAGAACTGAAGATTGTAATGTGGTTTTGAAAGTCAAAGAAATATTTGTTTATTTTGTCTAATCCAAGGGCTGATTTTGTGTCTTGTAGTAGGTTAAAATTTCAGTCTTTATAATGTAAAAAACTACTGCTGTACGTTCAGTTTTTTGAAAGAAAAAATCAGATTCTGTCTTCCAGCAACTCTGTTTTTCTTCTTCCAATTTCTTCCCAGATTTCCCCTGTTTTTCCCTGTCTCTCGGTTTTTACTGTCCAGTTCTTCTCTTCTCTGCTGTGGTTCGATTTCTGTTGTTACAAAGCTGTAACAAACAGCCATCAAATTTCAATATTAAATGAAGAAAAAGAGTAACTATAATCTCTACTATCAGTGCACACATTTAATTTATTTCAATGGAGGATTTATAATTTTGACCGTGGAGTCTATCAAATTTAGAAGAGATCCCAATAATCCAAGAAACCTTAATCACCATTCTTGCCACATGTTACTTATTTCGCTTCATGCTTGCCACTTGTTCCTTGTTTCAAGCCCTATTTGGTCAACATAGAGCCCATTACTCGTGAGTTTTTAGGTATGTGAAAAATTGTGATTTGAACATGCTGTCGAGCTGTCCAAAGATTATCTCTACCTCTAAGCATTACAATCCAAGACGCTCCTAATTTCGGAATCGGAGGAACCCTAATTTTATTGCAGTTTCAATGAAGACACGAGGTTTTTTTTTTTTTAGTTATCAATTTTTGTCTTTTCATTTTTATGTTTTGATTTGTGTTGTGCATTATTTGAATGTGGCAGTGAGAACTAGGAATTACGACATAAAGATTTTATTTTGTTCGTGATTCATTTGTGGGTTTTATTTGGAAATGGAAGATTTTGTGGTTGGATTTTCTGATATTTTTTTCTGAATTTTGTATATTTAGAGGAATGAAGATTTAGTTTCTCACATTGAATACTAAACTTTTTGATCTTTGCCTATGATTTTTAAATTTGTAGATTCAGGCGCTTTTATATTTATACATTTTAGATTTACATGCTTAAGATTTTAATGTCAGGGTAAAAAGTCTGCAGCATAATTAATTACAAGTTTGTCGAAAAAGTTATAAGATTACACAAATAGAGTTTCGCCAATTTATTAGCAATTATATACTTAGCCAAAAACACGCAATAAGTAGAAAGCAGTAGAAAGTTTAGATGTTTCCAATCGTGGAAAGGGATTCTAGATTGCGTAAACGTTGTAGATTCTGTTGATGGCATTTCAAGTGTGAATGTACTTTTCTTGAGCGAGTCAGAATTTAATCTATTATGTTCTAACAGCAATGGAAAGAACACGGGGTGATTGCTTTGATGTGAAAGAGGATTCATGGTTAGAAAAAGGTGCTCAGACTGCTCAAATTGATGACACAGATCGAAATGATGATTGTTGTGGGCGATGTGGAGATGTAGGTCAACTGATATGCTGCGATAGCTGTCCATCTGCATTTCACCTAGCATGTTTGTTTGAGCAGGTTTTTCTTTGCTTTCTTTTGTTTCCTGAGGTTTTCATTAACTTTTCCTCATTGCATTAAAATTATAAGTATTTACCTAACATTTTCTTGTTTGATTTTAATTACTGGAATGAGTGCAAACATTTGTTTCCATGCACACACTTCAGTTAATGTGTGCCTGTACCTACGAACAACATCCTGATAGATGAAGCCATTGCTAGTTCTTAATTCTAGTTGCCAGATTTATGGATGTCCAGTATAGATATGCATCCAGAGGTTTGTGGTCAACATGAACCCCGCTGAAACTCAAATCATTATTCAATTGAGCCTGGCCAAATCTAGTGTACCTGATCTTCTCCATGCAGATTTTTGCATAAATAGTTCGAGTTAGAGAGTTTGGAAGAGGTGTTCTCCATACTCATTTTTCTGGAAAGAGGCTCGATCTTTGAACAAGGCGATTGATGTTTCTTGTACAACTTGAAACTGATGCATTGATAATATATTTATTTATTTATTTGCATTTCTTTAACAATTGGGTGTTTTTTCTTTATATTCAAGCTAAAACACACATGCTTTTAGAAATCAAGGATTTTGTAGTTTGTGTTAGCTCAACTATGTTTGCCAACTCCATGAAATATGACTTTTTGTGTCATTGGATTTTACATGTACACATGTCCTGCTTCGCATGTTCGCAAATGAGTATTTTTTAATTAAATTTGGGTCATCCATAGTTATTTTCTTTTAGCTTTTTGCTTAATTATCTTTATCTGTCTTCGTTTAACACTGTATTAATTGTTTAGCCACTATATGGTTGAGTGAGTTATAGAGATTGAAATTTATATAAGGTTACGTTTGGAGCGAAAGCAAATTTAGTTGACTCATGGACTCTTGAAAGACGTTGCAAGCCCACAACTCACCAAAAGTATATAACATTGGGCAATAAGTAGACTCGTGTAGCTGGGTTGGACTTGCACTTGGTTCATTGTGAAGTGGAGATGGCAATGGGGAGGGGATTTTTGGAAGGCAAGGATTAAAATTCCAATTTATCGCCCCGTTTAGTTATTTATTTATTATTATAAATACATTTTATATTGAAAAATGTAAAAAATAAATTAAATTAAAAACATTTGGGACGGGTTTGTGAAATTCAGGCAGGGCAATGCACGTCTGATCGGGTTGGGAGCAGAGATGGGAAATTTTCCCGTCCCTAATTTGAAGCTAATTGAAAAATAATATAAAGAGTTAAAAAAGTCTTCAGGTGTTCAAGCTTGGCTTGTTAGTAAAATCCAATCATAGTTGACTTGAACAAAACCCAAATAGCCAAACTTAGTTTAAAGATCGTATATGATGGTTTAATGCTCAATTTGTTTTGGAAGCATACAATCTTGTTCAAAAGGATCTTAGAAACTCTTCCAAATCAGTTTTAAGNGGATCTTAGAAACTCTTCCAAATCAGTTTTAAGCTTCAAATTTTGTTTCTAAATTTTGTGGATCAAATTATTATTATGGTCGAAAACAAGATTCATTTGGTCGAACCTTGTAGGGCCAAGATCATAAATGTAACTAAACCAGGTGTACACTTTTGTATGACTAGTGCTTGATCTATTTAAAAAATGGACTGAACTTAGAATATATACCTATTTGGAAGATCAACTTGGGGAAATTTTTACTTGTTTCCTTATTTATTAATGGTGTGTTTGAGCCTCATTTTTCGAAAAGAATGTATTTTGTATTATTGATTTTTTTTTTAAATGTATGGTTAAAAAGTATGGAAAAATTTTGGACTTACATGTAAAATTATTTTATGGGAAGTATGGTTGAAAATGAGTTGGAGAAAAATGAATTTTTATAGAATTAAATTTACTCTATAAATCCCAAAATGGTATTGAAGAAATATTTAAACGATATCACGTGGTCATATCTAACAACTTTAACTCTAAGATCAAGTAGTTCAATAAGGTTCAACAAAATTTTAGATCAAGTGGTTCGAGTCTCATATTTTTTTTAATTCAAATAAAATTTATTCAGAAATCCTCACTTGTGGTGGAGGAAAGAGAATTGTGGCTACAATAATCCAAACATCAAAATAAAGATAGAAAACAAAACTAACGTCTAATATGCGGTAATCCCCAACGATCTGTATGTAAAATACCATGAAGAAGAGGAGGCACAGAATCACCATGAGAGAACTCAAAAGAATATTCATCACTTGCCTTCTTTGCAAGAAAATCCGCAGCCATATTCGCCTCCCGGTACACATGTTGAATCCTAACATTTACCCTTTTAGCCAAAACTAGAATTTCATCCCAAAAATCTTGGAGGATCCATGAGGAACAAGTTTGTTTTTCCATCCATCGAACCACAACTTTTGAATCCGATTCCACCATAACATCTTGTAATCCAAGTTCATTACACATTCTCAAGCCATCAAGAAGAGCTCGAGTTTCCGCAATCGTATTCGTGGTATGTCCATAATGATGTGCAAAACCTGCCAAACAAAAACCCTTTGCATCACGTATTAGACCCCCTCCACCAGCTTGTCCAGGGTTCTTTATCGACGCCCCATCAACATTTAGTTTTAACAAAGTGACCAGTGGGTTTCTTCCAAGATATTAGTTGCACTTGTGATGGCTTTGGATATATAATAGGACAGTTAAGAGATTGAAGAGAGCTTATATCTCGGTCTGGAAGTCTTTTCACCTTGTATAGCAGTCCAGCACAAGTAGACAAGAAAGATTTAATTTTCCGCGCAACTCCTTGCCATTCAAAATTAATTCCTTCCATGAGTCCGGCATAATACACATACAATTCATTTAAATGAGACTCGATCAAGCGGTTCAAGTCTCATTTAAATGAATAGTACTTGTATTATGCTTCATTGAGGAAAATAGCCATATTTTAAAAGACCATCCAAAACCCATCAATCTGTCTGGTTTTATGAAAACTATTGACCTGCTTCCAGTTTCGCTGTTTTAAATTTATGAAAACCGTGAGAAAACCCATCGTTTGATTTTTTGCAAATTTATGAATAAATTATTTATTTAATTTTTGAAAATCAACAGGGGACCCGGTTTGGCTCCGAGTCAACCCTTTGACGTTTTGATCCTTTTTTTTTTCTTTTTTTTTGAATCAATTTCTAAAACATTGCATTAAATATGAAAATGCAATGATGCAAATTCAGTGAATAGATAAAATCGACAATGCAATGGATGGAGGTTTCTTCACTTGAATTAGCTTCTTATGCGTCGGTTGTGAATATCCTTTTTACCAGATATAAGCACAAGAAGAGTTTTTAATCAATGAAATATTATGATCAAACATAATATCATACATTCCATAAATTTTAGATCTTCCCAAATTATTATTAATTACAACTTGGCCGACTTTATGAGAACACATTCATAGCTTACCTACTTTATGACCTTGATCATGGATATTGTAGGTGTCTTGGCTGAAATTTCAATGACATAGTAAAAATTGTAGAATAGTGAGGGGACTTATAAATAACAATCATCCTATAGCTATAACAACCACCAAACTCACCCTTTAAAATTGGCTTATAATGGTGTGATTCCCAATTGGTTTTAAACCAATGAACTAAGTCTTAGCTTAGCAGTGTAGGATACTATTTACATTCCACCTCTCTTTTTAGAACCAATGTCCATGACAGCCATATTCATAGTTAGGAGTAACCAGTCTTTTACTGGAAGTGGCTTTCCCCAGGTCATCCCTTCGGCATCGAGGGTCTTTCCCAGAAGGGTGCACCTCTCTTTGAGAGTTACCTTCCACCCTTGGGTCCTTCTATTGCGTGAGGAAATATTTTTAATGGTCTTTAAAACATTTAATAATTTATTGGTTGATGGTAGCTCGTTTTCATAAAAAATCTTATAGTTTCACTATTGTACAATTAACATAAGAATTGCCATTCTTCGTTAAAATGAATTTGAGTGAATGTGTAACTTTCCTCTGTATGGTCCCATTGCACAAAAATAGGTCTTCTATATCTTAAAAATGCACTAAAGAAAAACTTTTGAAGAATTTTCGGGGTTACACCTTAATAGTGTTCATCCAAACGAAGCGAGCACCAAGCATTAAATGTTAATTCTTAATTAGTGACATCTTTGTGGTTGTTGTTTATGGAAAATTCGCCTATTTCGGATCAGCATGTAAATTTCTCTTTCTTTGAAATTTGAAACCGAACATTTTGTCTAAAGAGTTGTAAAATGTGTTAAATTTATTTATGTGCAAGATTCATCTTATTCATGGTATAAATGCACTTTCTTACTGGGGAATTAATTGGAGTAGAACATGTATTCTACATAGTGGGCCAACAATAGAAGTGCTAGGCTTATTTTCCGGTTTTCAAGCCTCTTTTTTCCTCTGCTGTCCTTTTTCATTATAGATCACTTTAGAGATACAGAATCATGTACAAGGAACTCAAGCTGCTTTATTCTTTTCTCCAGGTGCTGCCTGAAGGAAGCTGGTATTGTCCACAATGTTGTTGCCTGATTTGTGGGGATGTGGTCAATGATAAAGATGCTTCACAATCTCAAAGCTTTTTTAAATGCTCACAGTGCGAGTATAAATGTAATTTTTCTCTGAATCTTTGAAGGGTTGTTATATCGGATTTCATGCAAATCAGGGACATGAAAAATAGGCTAGGGCTTGGTTTAATCCACCTTTTAACATCTACGAAATATAAGTGAAATATTTTTGTTAGAAATTAAGGACGAGATTATACTGCACAATATGAAGTAGCAATCACAATACTAGAAGAACACAAAAAATTTGGCTGAGGAAATGAGAATTCATTATAATATGGAAAAATAATACGTAGATATTGTATTTACAATATTGTCTAACTTATTCTAAAACTCAGACAAAGTCATATGAAAGTCGTACAATTCATGGAGTATATATAAAATCCAAAAGAATATGTTTTAGATGGAAAGGGGACTAAACATGAGTAAGAAAAACGGAAACAAAACGTTTCAAAATAAGGCTGATGCAGTGGCAGCCTCGCGCCAGGCGAGCAACGCGCGGTGCTTGAGCGATAGCCTAGCGCCAAGTGAGCGGCAAACCAGCGCTGCCAATGGCGCTCAGGCACTGAGTTTCGGTCCCAAAATTCGTTTCTCGGCGCCTAGGCATTGCTGCTCCAAACTTCTAATTGTCAACTTTGATCCCTCTTTGACTCCTTTTTCATCCGAAAGACAAACCAACGTCGGAATTTGGGTCACATATTCAACAATTTCTATACTTGTTTATGAAATCCAAAGAAGCTAACTTTTTAATGCTTGAAAACAGATCATGAGACATGCATGCAAGGGAAGGGCTTGAAATTTGAATTGGCCTCAGATACTTGGTTCTGTGGAGAATTGTGTCAAGAGGTAAATCATTGGTTTCCTTGAATGAGTTCAGTTGAATATATCTAACAGCCTTGTTAAAAAAATTATTAATAATAATAATAAAAATAAAATAAGTAATAACAAATTATTGCATATTGTAAGTCAAGGTAAATAAGTCAAGTATTGTTTCTTCATGTGGCTTCCCTCTAATATGAAATGAGCCACTCTTTCATATTTTTTGTTTGTTTATTGATTTGAAACTTTTCTAGATCAGTAGTGAATTAAAAATACATTGTCGGTAGTTCTGTTTAGAAGCATCACACACAGGCAAGCTTATATATAAGTTCTGGATAGAACTCAGTGATTTGATATGAAGAAATGTTTGCCTTTTTAGTTATTGCTTTATGAGTTGTTAGAGATTTATTATTTTTCCATGTGTGCTGGTACTCTACAGCTGAAAACACTGTGATTCCCAGTTTTACATCTAACAGGCGTCTTATGGGCTCTTTTCTCGTTCAACTTCCCGCCAACAAAGTACCCATTCATGTTTAGGAGTTGGTAATAAGCTCGTGTTGCTAGATTCTGCTAGCACTAAATTGATTACTTGTGATATATATTTTAGACTACATTGAAGAGGTTGCAGCAAGGATCAAGGCCATGCATAAAAATCTTGTAGAAATTTATTAAAGAGATTAGTATCCTAGAAATTTGTAGTGCTGACCAATATATTTAGCATAACCATGACTTGTAATTACATAAACTCACGTTCGAGAGGATNGAAAGCAGGTGATGACATTGGTCAGGGAAAAGATGTAGTTTCTAGAAGGTGTAAATAGTGAGATCTTATCAATAAATTTTAGGCAATTAACCACGGACTTTTTAGATATCTGGCCTTTGTCATAAGTGAGAGTGAAAAACAAAAAAAATGAACTTGTTCCTCTTTTTAGAATGTGTGTTGTTAATGCGGAGTATTATTATAATTGAAAATTTACATTTTTTATAAAAAAAGGGTATCATTTTTATTTCCATTACTGCTCCTTGTTTGGAAGATACATCTATTGCAGTATTTGGCTTTTGTTTCACATCTGTAATGTTTTGATTCTGTTGGTTTTAATTCCCTGTGCAGGTATACTCAGGTCTTCAGTCTCGCATTGGGGTGATAAATCATCTTTCTGATGGCTACTCTTGGACACTTATTAAGTCCATTCATGGCGAGCACAAAGTTCATTCTGATAAATGCTTTGATGCTTTGAAGGAAGAGTGCAACTCAAAGCTAGCGGTTGCAATCACGATTTATGAGGAATGCTTTCTTTCTATGGTTGACCCAAAAACAGGCATAAGCATGATACCTCAAGTCATGTACAACAGGGGGTACTGCTGCTCTAGAAATCCTTGTGTTTTGTGCACTTACACATACCTTGCTTTTTTTTTTTCTCTCTATTTATTTTTTTTTCCACCACCACTTGTTGCACCATCCTAGGTTTTTCATTTTTCTGGTTTTAGATTCACTAAGTTAGCAATCACAGAAATATATCTATGTTTCAGAAATCAACTCTTACAACTAAGTTCTATCCCCTTCAGATCAATTTAGCAATTGCAAGCAATTGTTGTTCTCACAAATAAATAGTCAGAGCATTGCCTATAATCCATATTCTGATTATTAGAGGTTTATTATTTACAGCTAATTAGTGTACTAGTTTCCTTGTATAGCCTTGTATCCTTATAGCTTTGTAATATTCTATATACTAAGGAGAATACGCACGAGAAATTCATTCCGCAAAATTAGCATGGTATCATGGCCCTAAAATTACCTTCTCGAGAGCGTGACTTTTTTGTTTTAGCTAAGGTTTTTGTCTTGCAGAAGGACTTTGTACCCTGTTCATCATAATTGGCGCCTCCTGTGGTCGCAACTCGTGTTTCTAACGCCGAGTGTGGTCAGTTGTTCCCTCATCATAGTCGTCGTCTGTGTTCGGCTCTCAGTTCATCGTAGTCGACACAATCTATGGTTGGAATCGCTTTTCAAGGCCTGTCTGAGGGTGTGTTGTTAAAATCCAAGAGAAATGTTGATCCGAAGTCTGTTTAATCAACCAAACAAACATCAACCGAGGAGGCTCCGACCCACAACTTTAATAATCTGGTTACCACTAGTTTTCACCCCCACAAAAGAGGAAGATAGTGGTAGCAATATCACAAAAGGATGAAGAAATGAGGTGCAATGATTGAACTCTCAAACGAACCACCAAGAACTGCTACCTCACCATTTCTCCTCTATTACGCACACACATCCCACACGGCCACTATATATATTGGTTAATTAGGTCACCAAATATGGGCCAAGTCAAGTGGACAAACCAAAGTATTGGTCTCCAACAGAATGGCTAATATTAAAAATAAATGGGCTAACTAATATCACCATCCAACTCAATAACTTGGGTCATCCATGAATATTGGGCAATGAGCAACATTAACTCAATTAAGTTGCTTTTAGTTGCATCAAGTGGTTTTTAGATTGAGCCATCACTAAGGTATCGATATAAATTATCCAACATCGGTTTGACATCATCGCCCATGATTTATTGGGTATCAAAACCCAACAAATTTCCATCTTGATACCGAACCTACTTCGTTAGTTTTGTGTTTCAATTATGAACATATTAGTTCCATTGGTCATTTTAACGGATCAGAAACCTTACCTCATGTTTAGGACCCAAAACAGATAACATACATGTTCCATATGCTCACTAGTGATAAGGTCAAGAACACCCAAGTAGAAGCAAATATTCACAATAATCAATCAAGAGCAAATAAACATACGATGAAAATATAACATAAGGTAACACATAGATCATTTCAAAACGTATTCGCACAGAACAACAGATTAACATCAAGTTAATCAACAAATGGCCAACACATATACAACAAATGCATACATGACCCACGAAAAGATCTCACCACACTTATCCTATCCCATTCCGTGTTGCTCACACCTCGAGAACACATATCTTCTTTCATCTCCTCCCATGCTCATTAGACCGACCACTCAACTCATGTCTAACTGGTAAACCATAATAGATCCTAAGTCCACGGGATAATTCTCTATTACCATAACACTTCTACCAACCTAAGTGGATAATAGGTCTCCACCTAACAGAAGTGATATAAGTGTTCCTCTCACACTCCACTTGTACTGGGTCTTTCACAGATAAATGATTCCAACATCTAGTTACAACTCCATTCATGATCCAAATGTCACACTACACATCCCTCGTACAAACCACCAATATACCCCTAGACATCTATACTCCACATTACCAAAAGACACACAACATACTGCTAATGCATCTCAAACTAATTATGGCAAAAAGCAACGCCTTTGGCGACCAGAAAGGTTAGAGCTCAATTTAAATTGACCCACTGATGCAGGGGAAGATTATAGGAAAGACAAAAATCCACACAAAAAGAATTTCAACGAAAAAAATTCAAGAAAACTTTATTTCATTCAAAACTGGGTTGCCTCAAAGGGTTAACAATGTTTAAATAGCGAAAAATCTAAGAAAATTCAAAAAAATTACATAATAATGAGAAAATATTATTTTTTCCAAAAATGGAAAAAATTGAGATAATGACGGATTTTGATTCTCATAATCACCAGGATCATCACCCAACAAATGAAAATCAAATC